TCCAATGTAAGGTGAGCCCTTGGTGGCACACCGTGTCCTAATATACTTGAATAAAAACATCGCAACTCCCAAGATAGAGACTTTAACTTAAAAAAAAATATATATATATAATATACTATGCTATACTAAAAATCTACTTTGTAACAATATAAATCTGATATATAAATTTGTTTGCTAATATTTCAAATATGTGAAACAAGTGGTTCAACTTTGTCAAACCAATTAAGTTTTTTAGAATTAATATCTGAAATATGTAAATACCTTTTAATTTGTTGAAAATATACCATTAATATTATTTAAGTAATATCATGTTTAGGATACATAGGATTAACTGACCAATAATCTTTTGTTCTTGGTAATTTAATAATACTCATATATATAACAATACCTAACTAAATTTTTAGCTTATCTAATGTTAAAAGTGATCAAGAACGTCTAACCAAACTGGCATATTTTGATTGTACGTACTCATTAGTATTTGTTAGAATTGTATTTAGAATTGTTTGTAAAAAAAACAACCTAATCAATCTATATAAACTAATATTGTTATCAGGAAATGCTGGTGGTAATCAAATAAAACCTTGATAAAATGGTACATTATGCTTTAAGTAACTAAAATCAGGTGATAGAGATAACTGTGAAAATATTTTAGCTTTTTTTTCTGAAGCTATATTTTTTCCTTCTTTATTTCCATGTTCTTTTCTTCTTTTTCTAGCCTTTTCTTTATTAATTTGGTTTTCATTGTCTAGAGTAATTGCATCGATTTTATTAGTTAATTCTACAATATTAGCATTACTATCAAAATCATCATCTTTAAAAAACTCATTTGGTGTTTGTAAAAAGAATAAAACTTCATAAAGATCTAACAAATCTGCAGATAATTCTTCATTGTTTTGCATTGTAACAAACTAAAGAATAAATATTCATTCAAAGTGGACCTGATTCAGAAATTGCTTTTAAAAAATTTAAAACAAACCCTTTTGTAAAACAATAACATGAGAATAATGATATTTAAAAAAAAGGTTACTAAACTTAATTTAGCACACAAAGGTAATCGTCTCAATTTAGTGTTACGTTTTTTGAAGATTTGGTTGGTTTGATGTTTATTTATAGTAATTAATAGTCTTCTGGCAATTCTTATTTGGTAATTTTATGTGTTACGAAATTCAACTAATTGTATAATAGTACTCTATTTGCACTAGTATTTTTTAGCGCATTGAAAGTAGTGTCTACATTGAAGTAGCTGTGCAAATAATAAGCTAATTGTGCTCAAAACTTTTTTCACTTTTCGAATAGCTGTCGTATATATACCTATTCTTCATATATCATGTACTGCATGAGAATGTAAAAAAAAACAGATTTTCTTGTACTTCATAAATTAAAACATCTTGCATGATCCTTAAATTAGAAAATATGTTATGCATTTCCTAAATACAACTACTTAAGGTGCATAATTTTATGAAGTGTTATCTGAAATTCTATATTTAGATGACTGATACTAAACCTGGGAATTTTTAGCAATATCACCCTAAACAATGCATATCTAACTACTCTTTACACATAATAATTGTATTTTGTACCGTAAATAGTAACATAATTAACCCCTTACTTTACACTTAATGTGCTTTATTAGTTTATCATTCCTGTATTTCAGTTTATTTAGAAATTATTTAAAAAACAATAAAAAAAAAATTCTGTATATAATTGCATTATATATGAATGCACTTTTTGTTTTACAGATCACAAATAAATACTTATATCAAAGTAAATCAGAAAAAAAAAATTCTTTAATTAGAAATAGTAGGATTGATACGTATGAATCATACTAAAAACACCTTAACTTACTATTTATCACCTTTTATAGTATCCCCTGCTAATTGCACTAAATAATTATTACTCATTGCTTTACTGTGATAAAATAATAAAATGATAGTAATAATAAAAAAAGACTTATTAGAATAATTGTTTATTGCTGAAAATTTGACTGATTGCTTGCCAAAAAAAAATGAAAATAAAAAAGTAAAAAAAATAAAATATTTTTTTTTATTTATATGATTGTTAAGTTAAAAAAAACAAAAAAAAATTCTCTAAACAGAGACTTATCTATCGTTAGCCTTTTTTTCGAATTTCTTAAATTGAAATAATTTTTTATTTCATTTAATAAGAAAAAGAAATAAATATAAATATACTTAGAAATTTTTCATCTGTATTTAATCTAAAGAGAACAAAGATCAAAGATCAAACAAAAAAAATTTTTCATCTAAATTTGATCTGACTAAAGAGATCAAGAGAAAAAAAATCTTCTATCCAAATTTGATCTAACTAAAGAGATTAAGAAAAAAAAAAAAATCAATTCTATAAAAAAAAAAAATTCGAACAAAAAAAAAAAAAACATAACATTTATTTTCTGCGCTATATTATACATCAAAAATGTCTCTGGATCCAGTAAAGTCTGCAACGGAAGCACAGTGTATAAAACTGGACCAAATGAATTCACTGAATACATATTCAAAGCCTTTAGATTCAGTAAAACCACTCTAGTAGAAGAACTCACAAAAGGGAGCATATCATTGATAATCAGCCAATTCATCTTTATTATAGTAGAATTGAATATAAAAAAAAAATCAAAAATATATATTGTTACTAAATAATTAACCATCATTAGAGATGTTACATTACATATTAGTTTTCTTTAATTTTTGTTTATCTGCTTATTTGATTGTTATTTTTTTTTTCCTTTTACTATCTAAGGTTACTATCGAGCAAAATACCCCCTTAAGATTCAAACTACAGAAGACTATCCATCAATCTATGATCTTTCTATATCGCTACCCTTCAGTATTTTCACAGCTCCGGTTCAAGATTCTAGCACTTCTGATGATGACAATGCAGCTTTTCGTTTAAAAAAAGATGCTTATAATGGTGTAACTGCATCTCAAGTTACAATGTCCATGTTATGTAAGTATAATCTTAAAGGTCATTACACTAACATAGCAGATGCCACAAAATGTCAATCTATAATCTCTGTCGCTGGAGAGTTAGTACTGCTAAAGAAATCTATTTGTATATTGTGTGATGTGATCAAATGAAGTTATCCAAACCAAGGAAACTCTAAAACTAGCGATGATAATAAAACAATAAAAGATAGAAAATTAAGAAATGAAGAGTTAGAAAAGTTGGTAAAAAAATTTAGTCTGCCTCCTAGTAAACAGCAATCCCGCAAAGCAAAAGAACTGATAAATGAAGACCTGCAAAAGAAAGCTCCTCCAGGGCTAAAAAATTAAAATTTGCAATGACTGAAATTAAAGGTAAAAAAAAAAAATTTAGATATGTAAATGATAGATAAAAAATAATAAATGAATAAAAATAAATAATTAAAAATAAATAATTAAAAACAAATTAAAAAAAATATAAATAAAAAAAATAAACAGAAAAATAAAATAAATAAATAAAAATTAAAAGAAATAAATAAAAATAAAAATAAAATAAAATAAAAAATATTTAACTTTATAATTTATTATTACTTGATTTATACTAATTAAATAATTTAAATATTTAGGAAATGAGATTACAGAATTTCATTATAATGCCATGGACTTAACCCAATCATACGAGAATACTATAGACTTAACCCAATCAGACCAAAATTCTACTGAGCATTCACATACAATAATTGAAAATGACACGGACGATCAACATACTGATAAAGATGATCAAAATAATTCAGATGATATAAATGCATCTGGAAGCTTAGACACACTATGAGAACAGTCAAATAGTTAATTAAATTTGATAACATTTAATTTTGCATTTTAAACAATCAAAAACATGCTATCCCTATTTGTATTGATTAAACACTCTGATCATTTGTTTTTTTTTTTTTGTTTTTTTATTGCCTTTAAATACTAATAGTTATCAATAGAATTATTAATAAAAAAGCAAACAAATAAATATTATCCTGACTAGTAAACCTATATAAATACTATCACTTAAGCGTTATCTCATCAAATTCATACTGTAATTTCTTCTTGAAACTTGAAAAGAAGAGAAAAAAAGACCATAATAATAAAAGTAGTAAAAACTAATAATAAAAAATAATTATCTAACAAAAACGTATATCTTACAATCTAATCTACAAAAATCAAATATGAGTAAGAATATAAATTATTCTATTTAACACTTTTCTATTCACGAATATGAAAGTGATATTCCAATAAACTTAAATGAAAAAAATTCAGACACGAGTATTAATACTATCTTCCGACCTTATATTTATTATAACAAAATAAACCAGATTGATATAAACAATGTTGTACCATTATATTATAACCATTCTGTTAATTTGCCTTTGGCTTTTCCTCCTTGGAGACTGTCCCCTATATTAAAAAAACTTCTTAATGACTTCGAAACAAAAATTTTACTTGATCACCACCATATTTCTTGCTATTACTGCTCAATTTTAATGTATTGCTCCTCAATGCAATAGGTAACATATGATCCAAATCAAGATTATACCTTAACTATCGCATTTTCAGAAATATCTCTTCACTTTCGTTATTTTACTAACAAACCTAGTAAAGTAGCAATCTGTAAAAACTGTAAAAACCCTAAAACTAAAAGATTTCCATCTGTACTATCTAATATATCTGATAAAATAAGCCTAGTGCCAATGAAACACAGAAAATATCTCTTGCCAATTCATATAATGTGTTCATTAGGTCATACTCCAAAAACAAATCTCTATACTACATACCAGTTTCTACAAGATAATTTTTTTTTAAGTAAGAATACCTGCATACTTGAATTATACTCAGGCATGCTCAGTGCTTTTTTAGATGAAAATGGACCAACACATTGGTATTATGATACCCTTCCAGCTGCAAGCAATTGACTAAAAAGAAATAATCTAATATTTCATCAATACAAAAATCTGCCAGACATCAGTCAACTATTAGCATCAAATCCAATACTGATTCCTCTACCTTTAGCAAGATGATCTCAAGGAAACACCAACACTATCCAGTCTGCAATAACTTCACAACTCCTAACATCGTGATCCTGAACAATAAATTTCCTCTAGAAACACATGATGAAGATCTAAGATATAAGAGACTTATGGCAGGATTTATGAAATTGTCTGATTTAACATTGCCAATACCTTATAGTGACCCTGACCTCGAAGCATTGATCTTTCCTAACCTGTTTCCTATTGGAAAAGGCTATTATGAAAACATATGTTGTTAGCTAAACCTTCAATTAAGTACAGAGAGTTACAGAAAGTATATCAAACTCAGAATGCTTTGTCCTAATCTGAGATTCAGATTACATTGATATTGGCCACATTGGTCATATCTAAATCTTGAAAAAAAACGTAATTTTCAATACAGTTGTAGACTGTTAAATCAAAAAATATATTATGGGAACATCACCCAACAACTGCTGATCTTATCCTTTAGATTGTAACACAGGCAAATTTGCCTGTATTAATTTTTTTAAAATTAATTTTTATAATAAAATTTTAATAATTAA